CTGCGGAGTATATTTTATTGAATTCCCCGGCGGGTCACACTAATGACTGTACATATATACCGCGGTATATATCTCGTATTCGTATTATCTGTACGGAATACGTCCGACTCTAGACCCAAATCATTAGCGCAAGTGCTCAACAGTTGAAACGGGTCCACACGTACGTTTGAATAATGACGTATATTTCGTGAGCGACGTCGTCATTCTCCACGCACGAGTAACCGCCGCCGGGTAGTCTGCAGCTGAGACCGTGTAACACGGTGAACGCTGTCGTGCGTATTTCGCTYCGATCTCGCAATATTCCTGCAGGTGTCGTGTTCTTATTGCTGCGCGTGTGAAAATCACCAACTCCTCGTGGAATAAGACGGACGATTTTATAAAATTTATATATATGCATACATTGTACGGTATACACACCGTCGTTTATTTTTTAGGACCGAGAGGGGAGAAAAAATACTAATTTCTGCCAAGTAACTCGTCGTGCGGCCACCCACATCAATCAAATCCGGAGCGAGTATGATTGACACACACACACACACACACTAGGTTCGCTGTAAGTATATAATATACAGTACAACTACAACTGTACAACACAGTGGTAGTATTACAGAAGAAATATATACCGTGCATACCGCTGTTGTGCGTGAGTCATTGTGCGGGYGGCGCGGGATCGATTGTCCGTAAACGGTCGGGCCGAGCCACTTAAAATCAGAACGCGTCCGATTACCTAAAAACGTATCGTACACAGCAAATAGAGGGAAATGTTGGAGAAATAATACGGGGGAAAAAAAATAGTCCAAACGCAATCGGATCGTTTTCAGATGGGGCCGATCGCTTATAGGTACCTGCTGCACCCCAACGCCGTCGCCCGTATCGTTATTGCTTTCTCGAGACAAGCGTTTGTAGTATAYCAGTATACGCGGCCAAATAGTTGTATTATTAGATTATTTTTTTTTTCACCTACGAAATTGGTTTTACGACACACGCCTCGTTGTCGTCGTCGTCTTATCGACGCCTCCGTCTCTATTGTTGTCGTCGACCGTGGTTTATTTCATTTCWATCTCTGACCGACTAACGCGAACAATAGACTGGAAACCAAAGCGTGTTCGCGTGCCCGGTAAAGAAGAAGAAGATGAATGAAAAATTAAGAAATACTCTTGTAGCGGTGTCTCTGGCGAAAGACACAAACGCGGTCAATCACCGTCACTGAATCTTATCAGCCATACAAGTTATAACTTGTAAAGTTTTACTGTTTTAATCATAGATTTAATACTTATAGTAAAAGGTCTATTATGATTTTAATACTTCTATCTGTAGTGTGGAATACATATAATTTTAAAATCAAATGTGATTGGTTGTTTGAATAATACGATTCTTTAAAAATAAATTTAAAATAATACATAAATTAAACATTTTTTTAAATACCTTAAAATATGCTGTAATATCTCATTAGTGCATTACATAATTATACAAGGCATAGTGAAATATTATGATTTTCAATTTGTTATAATTTTACTCTTTGTCAATTTGCATTCCTTAAAAGACCAAACAAAGGACAAATCAACGTTTAGCTAGGACGTACCAATTCTATCATTAGCGTGTTTTTCTTTTTGTTCACTTTATGAAACAAGACTCGAGGAGATTACAACTTAAATTACGATTCGAAGAAAATCTTTCAAACTATATGCTAAGTTTGTGACCGGAAACACGGCGAAAAAGTAATTACGGAATTAAAGAACAAAATAATAATAATAATAATAATAATAATATAGTGGTATCATTGTAATTCCAAAGAGATTTTATCTTATTCTGAATTAATAATATGAACAAAACAAGGTTAATGGATTTGAAACAACTGTTTTGTTGTCATTGCTGAACACATAACGAAAATTAATTGTTGTCAATTRAGAATGAATATAATATGTGGGTAGTGCGATGTATGAAAATGCTAATGCATTTTATAATTACGATATATTTTCAAAAAATATTTATTTTAATTCCTGCTCAGGTAGCTATTTAATTATTACAGTCTACAGTTTCATAAATCATCGTAAACTTATTTTGTTTGGAATTTTAAACGGTTTTAAATAAGGTGATTTAATTTTTGCTGGTATGAAATTGTAGATAGAAATTCTCTGTAGAAGAAAACAATTATATTTTGTATTTGTTTYGTTTTTATTTAAGTTTCTCATTTTKTATTGAAACTAACTTATAAACCTAATAATTTAAATTAATATAATATTTAATAAATTAATTATTGATTTCAAAATAATAATGTCAATTATATGTTTTAAATTCTGAATCCTACTATTTTTTTGGTTAATCTTTTGAAATTAAAACATTTATCTGTGCAAAACCAGTATTCAGTGATATCTTTGAATTGATATGGCTTGTGGTTAGWGCAATAACCGACTAAATAGTTAAATTCAATAAAACTGAATGAAAATTTTAAATAACGAAATTTCATATTAGTATATTTACTACAACCCATAATATACATTATTTACTTATTACAAAGTTAGGTATGATATAGATAAAACGAGGCTGGAAATGGTCAAGACGTGGTCGGATTTTTACATAGAGTTTGCCGCCAATGTCTCCATAAAAACCATCCTTTAAAAAGTCGACGAAACTGCACTAAATTGAACCTTTCGACGAATTACTGATAAATTCCTAATTATTTTAATAACGTATATAATATCATAAATAYATATTATTTGATAATAATTTAACTCAAAGAATTTATTTAGATCACRTGTTAGTATAAAATGAGATATATTATTTATTACCTATTATTTATATATATATTTTTTTTATATTCTAACATGCTTCATATCACCTTAATTCAAGTTGTACCTATTCAATACTATTATACATACCTAGCTACCATTCTACCAACTATCAAGCTAACCTATGAGTTATGATTCAGGTTTTAGGATTTTTTCTTATTAAATCTACATCGTCAGAATGCGAATGTAAAATGTACCATGAGTTCTCATCACCAACAAACATCCTCCAATTGGCATCAGTTGAACAGTTTTTAAGCTAAATATTAATCAACTATTATTATTATTATTGTAAATTGAAATGGTTCAAAGTAGAAATGTCTTATACTCGTATTATGATATTTCAGTATTTCAGTGTGTATTTCATTCTATTGTTATAATTATTTGACAATTTGAAAGTATTATTGATTATAATATATAATTAACTCATAGTTAGTACAATTTAGTTATTTGTTGATTCATATTTTGGTAAATATTTTATAATTTTAAATCTAAAAATAATCTCGTAATTTTGGCTAAAGTCGTCATACATTTTAATAATTCAAAGAAAATATTAATATACTATTTATCTTAATAAAATGTGTATATAATGTTTAATACATAAAAAAAAAAAAAAAAATAGTATAAGTAAATTTAGTATTTTCTACATTCTTGATTATATAACAACACGGAACAATAATATTTTAGTTTAGATTTATGGCCTGTGTACCACAAACAAGTCACGTTCGTTGAAAAAGTTGAGTCTGATTCATTATTCGAGCTATGTAGCTATAACTCATGACTTCTTGAAGTACCTACCTAATTTTTCARCTTTCATGTTCAAATATTATTGTTGTTGTTCTCGTAAATTTTTCAAATGTGAAGGAATAATCAACTGCCAATTTCTAATTGAAATATAGGTAAGTAGGTAGCATAAAATCCTAGTTCTGTGAGTGGCTAAGATTATAAGTCAATAATTATATCATATTTTTATGTACTACTGATATGGTTAATTAATCTAAACCTATAGGTTTAATCGATATTATTATCCATACATATATGATATATTATGATGGTATACTAATATTATATTTGATTTTATTATAGTGTTATTTGATGAATTTTATGAATTTTATGCACAACATTGAATCATACCTACAGAATATAGTTGTGCTTTTTTCAGGTTCATTATTATATGTGGACACAATATTATGCTCATCGAATCGAATGTATTATTGATTATTGTAAGATGAAATAAGTGACAAACCATGGTAATCGTAAAAACTGTTTTGGTGACATAAATAAAAATAAACCATCGTCGTTGCCCAATTGTAGGTGACAATTTCGGAACGGTACAGTCATTTATTATTATGTTCATACTATTAAWATATCACATAATTATTATACATAAACTTAACTCCAAACAGATCATCAGCCATCAGCCGCACGACTATAATACCGACGCCGAATTCTTGTTGTGAAACACTACAAGTTTTTGCGGACGTATATTATAATCATTACAATAAGACTCAATTCCCTAAGTATAAATACATTGTAATACTATAGGTACACTTTATTTGCTGAAAATATTATATATCTTTGTTGATAAGAGGACATCGTACTCACATATTGTGTCGTTATACTAACGCTTAATATAATATTAAAGCGAACGTCCAGCAGTTCCAATTTTGTGTTGTATATAAGAGTTATTAATTGACATTGAAATTAATATTATTATTTTAAAGTAAGTTATGACTTTTTTGAAATTGCACAATTCCTGGACCTCTCTCTCTGCTTTCAGTATATTTCTCTATAAGCCATCAGCTGTGATTCAACTATATATATATATGTGAGAAAGACAGCATGGAATTTGCTGACCCCYATTTCCGGCACTCGTCCCAATAAGATTGTGTARCTCGCACAAGGTTGTGTCGGATCGTCTTCTACAGGCGGGCACCGTATTAAATGTGCACGTTTAATATGCAATCAACCCGTATGAGAATATTATGATTAGGCAAGTATAAGTAAATACATTATAAATATTTAAAATATATAATGCATTATTTGCGGTGGCAGATGCTGCGCTCGGTAGATGCCTAAGACAAACGGGCGATCCCCTTCCACGCCACGTTGAATTCCCTACTCATAATATTATATTACGGGCGGTAGGTCATCTTTCGATAAAAATCTGTCACGAGCAACCAAACAACCATTAATTTTCCTGCTCACGTCAAAGCACGCGGTCCATGTTCAGAAGTGTAGACCRGAATAGCTGACGAACGAACAAGAACTATCCCAAACCCGTGAATCATCAATAGCTTTATTGCAATAATAATTAATTTGCGTTTTAACCTAGTGCGTGTCTTATTATCCGTGCACCGGATATTACAATCGACTTAACTCCCGATGTGTTAATATATTGGTCAGACTCATATCAAGATCGAAGAGGATCGTAMCAYTATCGATTTACCGCTCCTGCAGCGGTAGTGTCATGCGATCGGACTGGTCGTCGACGGCGCTCTGCATGACATTGGTCGTGACGTTGATTCTTGACAATGCGTGCACGTCGAAAAGAGTGAGTAGGTACTATAATTATAATTGTGGTTTGACATTTGGTCAAGATGTGAAGAATGAAGAAATACCGACATTAGTGTGGTAGTTAAGTCAATTCTAAGTTAAATGCCATCCCTGAAATGCTCTTACTGGATTTAAGATCGAAACTTAAAAAATATAAAAATATAAGACAGCTATTTTTTTTTTCATATTTTTCTCGAAACAACACAAGCGCAAACGGCATAAATGATCCCCGATCGACGTAACTGTCTACCTCTGTATTTTAATAGCATAGATTAGTATATAGTTTTAGTACCGTACAACGACGAGTAGTACAATGGAGTTATATAAAATATATAGTACCTACAGCGAAATTCCTTCTACATTACTGCCAATGCTAGTATCGAACAATATAAATAACTTGTAGCCGTCGAAAATTCATATAACTCAAAATCTGGTTCATTTGGGAATTATATTTTAAGCGCTAAAATAACACCGTTTCTGACAGGCATATACAGATATAAGCTATAACTATGTTTTACAAATGGCAGACTAATCTAGAATAATAGTGTGATATTDACAAAAGTTATCGGTACCTACATGATTATATGGTAGGTATAGAACGTCATGGGGAATGATRCTTTCTCTCTCTCTTTTTATTCAAATGTCTTTGCTTTGAAACTTAGAAACATAGAATGTAAATACACAATAACAAAAGTTGTCTTAATCAAATTCAGTTTCAAGTATTTATTTTGTTTTTCAATTGCTACAACATGAATTATAACAATATAAGTCCATAATATAGTATATTTAAGAAATGAAAAAAAAAACATATCCATCCTTTTAAAATATTTAACTCATAGTACAAGTAATAAAGTACCTATGTACCTGTATAACTATTAACTATTAACTATTGKAACCACGATATTAAATACCACGGGATGTCATTCGATTTATTTATATACATGTAATGATCATATTTATTGATTAATATTAAAATTGATTTACTCGTGAGACTCAATAGCTTAATTTCAAGGAGTTCGAGCATTGTCGTAGCAACTCAATCATTACTGTTAGCTGTTATTGTAACTAAGCAATTAAAAATTAAAATTGAATATAATTAATTTTCACACAACTGTAAACTGAACAAACGGTGTATTTGGCATTAGCATTAGCATTTTAAATACAATATTATAATATATGGAAACAAAAATTCAATGGCACCACTTAGCTTTGTAACTGATTATTATTTTCAAATGTCAATGTCAGATTAACTCGTAAAAATGTGATATTTACAAAACAATAGTATATACTTACCCGTTGGCTCTGTTATAGAGGCGGTAACTTTTATTTTTATTTTAATGTGGCACATGATATTATTGTTGCTTCAGTACTTGATTGTGTACATTAAACATTCAGTCTATGGAATAATATTTTATTTTTTTTTTGGTTTGAAATTTTTTAAAAGTTACATTGCATATAGTACCTATTCAAATCAAAGAAAACAATGACATACAAATTCAAAACCATACTCTGAGCAACAAAGATTTTTTTTAATTATTATTTTTAGGGCCCGGATTTCAATGCAAAGTGCATCTTTTTTGGTTGATCATAGACAATGCTTTCCAAGTACATAATTYGTTTCATGTAACGAGTATTTCAAAGCTAAAAATTTTATTCTGCATTTTTAGCATTAATTGGGACATTTTTATAGTTTTAATGCATATTTGTTCAATATATTGCACAAATTTAACGTATTTATTAATATATATTGTAATATTTGTGTTTAGAATGAATAATATTGCTTAAAAACAATCAAAACATATGCGTGTGTCAACATCATAACAGCATCAAGCCAATTTTTCCATTTTTTTTTTTTTAATAAAATAATAAATAATAAATATATTTTAATGATGAATTCCAAATTAAAATACCAATTTTTTTTAGAAAAAATATTATATAAATTAAATTTTTAAGGTTATTTTTGAACTAAACTGTATTTTTCAAAGACATTTTTGGCTATTTTTTAGAGTATAGTTGTATGGTCTTAAGTGCATTTTAATCCGGGCCTTCTTTATTTTTAAACTTGGTGACGCGGGCTTTATAGGGGAGAACATGGTCATATAAAAATTTTCTTATATGCTTTTGTATAAATAATAATAATGCAATTAAAAAAAATAAATAAAAAATAGAAAAATTAAAAAAAAAAAATTTACAGTTTAGTGTTACATGGTGGATATTGACTGAGGATGATTTTTCAGTATTTTGGTGGTTAAATCTGGAAATTTTAAATTGGATCTAACGTAAGGCTAAAATGTCTTCTCTAGAGATAGAAACAACTGTAAAAAGGTCTGGGTACTCCATTCTTAGATAGGTGATCATAACTTCAAAATGTCTGTTTATTTTAAATGGGAATGTACAATTGGTAATATTTTATTCAAATGCATCAAGCTTAGAAGGATGAGATATTCACAGTTGATGCCACTTAAGTATTTATTTATTTTTTATTAGGCTGTCAATATGACTAACGGGGTTGATTTTTGTAAGTAAAGATAGAGGAAACGCATTCTAAGTTGCATTACTGCTCGGTAATTTTCTTGTATTGGAGTATCTAAATGTCCAAAATAGTTTGTTTTTGAAGATAATAAATTCTATTTTAAATGTGTATGCTAATATTTAATGAAATGKTTATATTGTAGATTATGTTGAGAAAGTCTGTAAAAAAWGTATTGAGATTTTGGTATRGTATTCGATTCAGCTGGTAAATACTGAACATGGACTAGGTAGTTTGAACAAAAGTAATAAGTTTCAGATAAAACAGCGAATTAAATTATTGGTCTAATATAAAATAATAAAGTAATATAATAAACTTTTRATTTTTTTTTTGTTTTACTTGTATCTCTGCTTAACATAATTTTATACGAGCTTCACCACGGGCGCTTTTCGATACGATTTAGTGATTACATTATATATTATGTACTGTCTAGGAAGTAATTTTTTTTTCAGTAGCGGATCTACAACTATTATTTCACTTTGTACTTTCTTTATACCCAGCCATATCATAGGCCAGTCTGTATAGTATTTACATTTTACTGTAATGATATTGACAGTTATAGCGACGATAATGTGCTATATTACAAATCCATCCATGACCACCGCAAACCATAGTAAATCTTCACTATAAACAATTTAACTCATAATTAATACTCAACAAAAAGAAAAATGCACTGTGTTGAATGAACTTCATTGTTTTCCAATAGATTGGGATGCACAATTATTGATATGCATCATATAACATGTTTAATACTATACTGAAATAGCGCAATTCAATACTACACGCCGACCAATCWATTTTATTGTAAAGTTTTAGCGAGTATTTATTGAAAATAAATAAGTTTCACAGCGTCATGTTCATGTGTAAATAATGATAAAAAAATTATGTATTATGTTTATATTTTGAATTAATTTTTTCACAGCAAAAACGCCAACTGTTCCGTGAGAATGTATTGCCATACTTTGGTGGTAAAATACCAGATTCTGCGTTTCATGCAGATCGATTGGCACTAAATATGCTGAACAAAGAAGGAATATCTGTGCCAGATGGTATTCTATTCGAATCCAGACCCAAAGAATCATTCCACCAAAGTCAACGGAACGATCCAGAACTACTCAACTCTATAGTCAAAATGATCCATACGCCAGACGGCAGGTGAGCAACGGTGCATATCCGTTTTGATAGTATTAACACAGATCTTCCCTATAATTTAGGTGTTATTACGCAAGCACCGTTTATGTCATACCAATAGCTTCGTATATTTATACGATCGTAAYATATGAGTATAAGGGGCAAAATAGATACGTCAGTGAAAGATCGAGTAGAGTTGCACAAAATAAAATATTACACAAAATATATTACCKGGTTTCAGCATGAACTAAGACACTATTATCTTAGTTCAAGGAATAACCAATATATAATAATATACTAATATTATAAGGCGAGTAAAATATGAAAATATGAATACAGCATTGGCACCATCTGTTCAGTAAAATCAAATAAAAAAATTSAGAACCATTTTCCCGATCGAAGTCGTGTAATACGAAGCATAAAAATCAGTAACCAAACCAATTTATACAATAAAACTTTAAAATAAAATAAAAGTTTTTCACACATAAAATGTTCATGCGAATAGAAGGAGAAGCACAAAAACCGATGTACGGGCTGTGTATGTGCTAAGAAATGAATAACACTTTAGTTATCATAAATCATAAATTAAAATAATATATGTTAATACACATCAATATATCAATTTTATACATCGTTTGTAGAATTTTAATTTTACAGCGTTCCACACACTATATAAAATGAATAAAATTATAAAATATTAATATTATTATGTACTTCTTCATACAATTATAATATTTTTCCCTAAAACTGGATGCAAATAAATAACAATACTTACCTGACTAATGACGATCAATTGTATTATTTATATTATTTTTGTTGTTTTTAATTAAGGAAAGATTAAATAATTTATAATTTGAAAACTATGCAATAACAAGTGAACCGTTTTAATAAATATTTTAAAATTAGGTTTATACCATCAGAAGGTCAGTATGAGGCTGATAACGAAGTAGAGTCTACGTACAAAATATTTATACCCTCAAATATACAAAAATATCATCTACCGAGGTTTAGGCCGGTACCAGAAGCGTTACAGCTGTCCAGCGTTCAGCATGTATTTGAGAATGGCCGGTTGTCAATCRCACCCATTGTGGGACAAATAGGTGTTCCATTATATCCTATATTACAGGTAAATTATATAAATTAAATATTCAAGTAAATATTTTATTCTAAACCCTATTAAGTTAATAAATCGATATTTACCTAGACACCTAGTAACTACTACTAGGTGGTTCTCATACCTTAACAGGAAAATATATTWATTTCTTGAGTCCTGGTGTGAAGGAAAAATTTACCAATTGAGTCTGCACTTGAAAAAAGTAAAATATAAATACTAACTAGTTTAAAAAACTTAATTATGTACATATATATTTATAACTTACATTTTTTTAACATCGACATAAATAGTATTTTTAACCTTTAATATTTAGTATTTTTTGCTACAGACAATCATAAGTCTATAGGAAGCAGAATTTATTTTATAAGTTTGGTTGAATTCAATATCAATATTAAAACAATGATGTATGTTTTTAAGGTTGTACTGATATTGTAGCATTAAGTGGCACCGTGTCGGTTCCAACTTGACAAGTATCTCTTCCCTAATTAGTCGAAAAACATAAATGCATCCAAAACATACGCATACGTGTTGTTCAATATTTTGATGTGATAATCACTAAAACGATTTAGTTGTCAAATTTAAAATTAGTATGGTCACATATTATACTCATTCCGCCGTGATCGCAGACCAAAAAACGTCATTTGAACACCTGTGTAATCATGATGATGTTAATCCCTTGAAATTTTACATTAGAGATTTAAATATATGTAACAAATTAATGTATTTTATTTTGCAATGAAATGTCTCTACTTTTTGGATATTTTATTAATTAKCATCACTTATGACGTTTTGGTAGTGCGGATATTTTTCTCTTTTGATTTTTTTGAAGTGGATTTCACTATTAAACACAACTATAGGTACCTATATATAATAGGTATATTTGTGTTTATGAAATATCATAAAGTTGTCTACTTTATACATTGTAACACAACAAATATGTGATAGTGCCACTCTGTTCAATCATGTGAGACGTTGGCATTTATTAATATCAAAATTAAATAATAGTGAAARAATAATTACCAACTATTGGATGARTTTAACATCAAATTAACGATCTGTCTTAAAATATGGATGTCTACTTTTAAATTCTAAAGTATAGATATAATTATGTGGGCCATAGGATGTGAACGTTTGTTCCATATTATATCGCGTAATAATTCCATTATGTTTTTATGTAAAACCACGTAATAAGAGAAAATGAGTAGCAATGATGAGAGTGAGTCTATTAAAAAGTAATATTTCCCATATAATTTAATAGCTGAAAAAAATATCAATCAAACAAATCCATTTTTGTATAGAATGAATTTACATTTTTGAGAAAACTTTACATGCAGTGTATTTACAATATAACATTACATTTACAATAATATTGATATGCTTTTAAGAATCTTGATCACCCAAAAATCCGAACAAGAAGTACAATAATATGAAAATATTATCAGATGACTGTGATATCATGTAAGTACTAAGTAGGTATTGGGAACGAAAATACACACCGTACGTGCTCAAAAATGTTTTTGGTATATACCAATATACCTAATACATAGGTTTGTCTATGAACAGGCAATTATTTATTTTTGTTTTGCAACAGTCGCCTATACTGCAATTAATACTAGGTAGGCACCTATCAATTATATAGTATTATTCATAAGCCAAATTTGACCCATATTTTAGCGCACAAAGAATACATTTACGTACGGTTTTTTAATATTCTGAGTTCCCTGTTCGGTAAAAGCTCAGATAAATGCAAAATTTCAAAATGTATAAATAATTTTAATAATAATTTTTAGTCTTTCAGATTTATATAATATATATAGCGGGTATATCGTATATATTATAATATATAATATACTTAATATAATTTATGTATATTTGCATAACGATCCTCTATATAGTGTACGTGCTTAACAAAAATTATTTCAACATGACTGAATGTTATACAGGAATACGGGATATTATTGTTTCAACAAGATAACGCTAATCTCTTACTGCCTTATATATTTATTATTATATACTATTTATTTATTAGTATGCTTTTATACATATACATATATGTATTTTATTTTATTATTCAACTACCTATACTACCAAATTTACAGTAATTCGTAAAAAAATTGCGGAAATAAATACCTGTAAATTTAAATTGAATACTTTTTTACACATTTTTTGTTCACCATAAAAGGAGAAATTAAATTACCTTTTGTAGTTGTTAAAATCTGRTTATAATACTAGGAAACTGTAGGTATATCTTACAATAACTACTGAAAAAGCGTTCTATATACGGTTAAAGATTGAAACATAACGTCATTAATAATCAATTTTGTTTTCTACTTCCGTATCTAATTGACAATGTATATTGTGTCTTTAGAATTGGTATAATATGTTGTATACGCACGCATGGGCACTCTTAAAATTTGAACAGGGACACTATTAAGTGGTTTGTTATTATTCTTAACTGTTAACTGTGATATTTTTATGAATGAAACGATTTTTATGAATAAAAATAACTAATACACACGTTTTAAGTACCTCTGGATCTAGTAATTAAAACATTTATCTCTAATCAAAAATGTATCTATATGCAAATAGTATAATATTTATTATATACATATTCTGAAAAAACGTGATACTAACAGATATTTAAAATTTATTTACCTTCTTTTTATTTTAGAATTGGAATTCAGATGATGCCCACCGGCCCTACGTTGAACAGTTCAATCACAATGTCAATCAGATCATAAATGTCCAATCARACGTTAAAAACGTACATTTGACAAGTTTTGTGTGCGATAGATCAGGAAAAATGTATCCAGATCCAGAAACTCAATGTCAGGTAAACATTTTTATATATTATACACATACATCAACCATATTTTTGTACGCTACGTCATTATCAAAAGAAGTAGCCAAGTAGGTATAATATAATCGTAAATATCTCTAAATATTATCATTGTGTTGTTTTTTTCACAACATTTGACCCAGAAAATCCTCGCCACGTCGTAACGTCTTGAAGGAAACAATTTTAGAAAATGTTTTTAGAAAATCGTCTAAAATCTAGTGTCATCCGAAAAACACGAGATAGTTTTTTCATTCTCAATGTAGTATTGCTTTTAAACATATGAAATGTGTGAAAAATGTAAATCGTTTTACTAGATCAACTAAATTCACTTTCTGATCAAACGAGGTACTGAAGTCGAAAATTGAAGCACTTTTACTGCCCCAAAATGTGATGACAGACACAAAAAAACACACACATCATTGTAAAATCAATACATTTCTCGCTCCGCTCAGAATCTAAAATTTATTAATTAAACGAAAAACACACGTTTCCACTTGAATATTTTATAAAGTAACATTTGACTTTCTATACCATATAAATTCTCTATATTATTCCAAAAAGATTCTACACGTACGATAAATAAATTGGATTAACAATAATATCTTGTAGCGGTAGATGGTCTGTAAATCACAATCTTTGCTTAGATTTTGAATGAATATTTTTTTTTTGTGCTCTATAGAYTCRAAAAATACAACTGGATCATATTCCAAAAAAATTATACCAATATACTGTTAGATTTCATGAGTTTCGAAGAATATATTTATATGTTTTTTTCAACTCTTATAAGTGTTATAATACATAGCTCACACTCTCACACATCAATTTAGTTTTAAAATTGGGACTTTTTGTTTATTTAAATGATTAACATTAGTTATAGATGATATTGCTATAATAATATTAGTAGAAAATGTAATATAAAAATCTATCTTCAACTGATTGTGTTCACATTAAAAATATGCCCAAAACTAAAAAGTGAAAAATCAAAAAAAAAAAAAAGAATCAAAGAAATATTATGTTTGTATCATATGTTTCGACTGAAACMACATAAAAAACCAAATGTTTTAACTCAGATGAAGTCATGTAATACAGTTTGGAAATAGCAAGTTAATTTTTAGTGTTTTGTATTATAAAATGTTTCTGATATACAAGGTTGTCAAGTTTATTGATGGTATAATAGAAAGCAAATTAATAAACTATAACTTGAAATAAACCTCAACAATTTAGATTCTGGTTTACTAAAACTGTTGGATACTGAATTGAAATTTATCGTAGTGTTGTTAAACTAGTACAATTTWAAAAAAAATATTAAATATTAATTCATTTTATTTCTAATAAGTAYAAAGCTATACAATCTGTCAATATAAATTACCAATGTAATTCAAATAYAATAAATTCAAATATTTCAATAGCCTAGAATCTGTAATAATGGTAATATATTGGTCTGGATTATCAACAGAAGTTATAATATGAATATATGATAGTTAAAAGTARAGTGTTGTAGTACATTAGTGATATGTGAATTCATATTTTAGCACTTCTCTATAAAAAAAATCTAGCACCTAACCCACTGTAATTGTCAAAAATGCAACAGTAACTATCTAAAAGGTATTTAAAAGGATAGGTATCTAAAAGATCACGTCATTATTTTAATGTCCGTCTTTTGATATTATTTKTATAACAAATATAATTATAAYTTTTGATATTAAACTCATTACTCAACTATAGATTTTTTTTCTGTATAACATTATTACAATAAGAAAATTCGATATTTACAATTAAGATTAAAATAACACGAGTAACGTGTAGAAGAATAAATCAATTCGTAATACCTCTTTTACTAATTTAATAGGTATCTACACCATTAACGCTTTAGTCTATGTGGTGGGTTTTTTGRGAGGGTCACGGTAGAAAACTATAGTATTTAATGAGTGAGGTAATACTTTTTTTAAACATCCATGGTGTTTTTTAAAATAATATTTCACTTAAATATTTTTTATAATACCCACATGATTACAATTCTTAACACCTTAATATCAATATATAATATATTAAATGGCTTTTATTATATTGTCATTTGTATTTTTAAAAGTTTGAAAGTTTAAAATTTAAATATTCATTTAGTATCCTGAGTTCAACGGCTTAGGATAGGAAATAATAGCAATTAGATTTTATTTATTTACATTGGTTTATAGTTTTTTACGTTGAATGCAAATTAACAAATTATAAACGTCCTTATAAATATAATTTTAAAATTCGCTTATGTTTTCCTTTCACCAGCTAATGTTTGTCATTATGCAAATATAAGTTTGGTTGTAGGTATATATTTTATACAATTTCATTCTATAATTTTTACAAACACAGGTTTATACWMGCTTTCATACGAGRAATGGTTTATAAATTAAGTTATAAAAAAAATGAGTTGATAGGTATTTTATTTTTATTTGTCGGTATTTTTTGTAGCCATATTTATTATTATTTAAAAGTTTTCAACTTCTTTTCATATAATCAATTTTATTTGTGTATAATTTTAAGACATGAGGATAAACCACTATAAGAGTTATAATAGCTGGTAGATAAAAATGTGTTGATTATAAGTATTAACATCGTTGAGATTTAGAGAAATAATTTCATAATTTTCATAGCATTGAGAACTATTGACTTTATAATATTTGTTTACTATTGTCTGTTACTATGTCACCAATGGTATATTTCTATTTTTAATTTTTCTTTTAAAATTAATATTGTTTTGTGTGCATACACTGTCTTCAAATACAAATTATGTGATCATAGATGGGCCTTTACYAGTTCCCAAAAAGGATTTATATAATATCTGCAGCTCCAACAACTCTAAAAGTGTGACTTATGGAAAATGTGCAGTAGATATCTTTTAGATATCCTTTATATAGGAAAAAAGTAAAACGACATTGTTTTTACACTTGTACAGTACCTAAACATATTCTTTTTTGATTGGTCATCATAAAAATAATTTGTGAGAGCCATAAATCAATGGAAAAATGTATGTAAATGTGAATCTTAAAAAAATTGGTCACGGTAAATAAAGTACAACATTCATGATTTTATAACATTATTCGATAATTTAATTTCAGATAACCCTGTCCGGATGTATTTCGCTAAGTTAAACCTATGGTATCGTTGTTTTGGAATACAGCCAATATCTTGAAAATAAATATGATAAAGAGYCTAGGCCATATGTGACTTGATTTTAAGTTGTATAATATTTGTATCCAAAATATTTTTGGCCATATTCCGAATAAATGCAACGTTTAAAACGTTTCCTTCACATTTCAGAAAGTTTTATGATTTATGAATAGGTACGAGTACAAAGCTACTGAAGACCTACGACTTTCCAAATCGACTTTATTGTTTTTGAAAAAAAAAAATMTTTCAGACTCATAGTATGAATGATATTTTTAAATTATTTGTATAAATCTTGAAAAATATTTTATGATTCTATAGTGTTTGTTAATTTTTAGGTATATAGTATTCTCATATATTCAATTTATTTGAGAAAAATTAAAAAAAGATTAACATCGCATATAAACAGGGTTGTATTTATACTTTTAGCGCCCCTGTGCATCATTGCTATCATTTAAAAATCTACTGCCATTTGGTTATTATTATCATGAAAATCACGATGGAAAATTTAAGAAACATAAAATAATGTATGCTTAAAACCATCAATGGGATTTTTTTGTCAACTAACGAGACACGATTATTACTATTGTTCCATATAAAAATGCCTATTATAAGAAATTTGCAGGTCTAATATAAGTTATAGGTCCTTTAAAATATAGTGAGCATGAGTTACTTCATTTAGAACATTATAACTTATCCGAATACATAAAATAAATAAAAGCGCGCACACACACACACATATGTTTTAAGATGAATAAAATTACTTGTCACATAGTAAGTGTTTATAATGCAAACTTTTCATAGTGTACGGTGCACCTTATAGACTCTATACTCTATGAACATTTCATATATTGTACCAAAATAATACACATTATAATAATATTACAATATATTATTATTATATACTTCCCAATTAACAGTTGTTATCAAAATGTATCAGTGGCCCTTAGACAAGTACTGCAAGTGTATGAGCTCTCGAAGCGGTTGGATGTACATTTCTGGTGTCCCAGGGAAATGTGTACATTTATAATATAAACTATAACCTATAATAATTGATTTCCATGAATTAAGTGATTAATTATAATGATAATGTTTTTTTAAATTTAAAAAAAATGGATGGTTAGGTAACTTGTTGTGATTTCATGTGCTACCAAAATATCTCTGAGTGCCACTGAAATGTATTGATATATATCAAATGGTGCTAAAATATTAAAATAATTTATATACCTATATTTAACCATGTATTTTTAACACTTATCTTATATATTTATACAGACATACAGCACTTGATAAAATTTATAATTTCAGGTTTTTCACTTATGCCATTTCAATGGATTCAGAGAGACATTCTTTTGTCCACAGGGAACTCGATATAATCCAACRTTACAGGAATGTAGACTTTGGTACTTGACTCCTTGTCTGGATATACGAAGGCCTTTTTATTATTAAGTCAATACAATATGAAAATAATTTATTACAATTATTTTCGATTTTAACGTTCATAGAAGTCTGTGAATAATATTCCTTAATGCATCTATTGTATCACATAATACTATTTTACAAGTAAAATTAATTGAATACGTATTATTTAATTCAAACAAAAATAGATCAAATTATGTGTCTGATGCCACAAATTGTCTTACAAACAATAATACAATTTGCAATTAGTTGTTTGTGTGGTATTGATTACAAATTATATTAATACTATGGTATAATTTATTCTTAAATATAAAATATTTTTGTATATACTATTTCCAGTTTATGKAAGACAAATTATTTATTTATAAATTGTGTTAGTGTGTTATATAAACGAATCAAAATAAATATTTAATTATTAATTTACTATACTACCTATACGCATAACTGATACTACCTATGGAGAGCATAATAATATGTCTAATCAAAATATTATACAAGTAAAAGGAAAATATTCCACATATTTTGTCTATACAGATTAAAGAAATATAAATATAAATATCAAGGAACCTACATCAAATCTGCAATTAGCATGAAAGGTCCTTTCAATATTATCGATATGTATAGTCGAATATTCTTGAATTATATGTATAGTTAAACAAATTATTTATAGAGATAAGCGTTAATATTATATTCAGAAAATTATATTTAGTCTATAACTAGTGTTATAACATGTTTATAACTTGTTGTTTCCTTCACAACATTTGACCCAGAAAATCCACGTCACGTCGTAACGTCTTGAAGGAAAAAATTTTATAAAATGTTTTTATAAAATCGTTTAAATATCTAGTGTCATCCGAAAAACACAAGATAGTTTTTTTACTCTCAATGTAGCATTGCTTTTAAACATATGAAATGTGTGAAAAATGTAAATCGTTTTACTACTTACCCATATAAACTGAAATACAGTGAGCCGTTACTATTCTAAAAGAAATAAAGACATTTTATCAACGATCTTGAGTTGTTCAAAACTAAAAAAAAAAATACGAATAGGAACTGTTATTATTATTACTACTAAATATAAATTCAGTGTTGAATGAATAACTTTTAATGAAATTCTTTTATACAGTAAATTTCATGTAATTCTGCTATATATCTACAGACAAATTAAGAGTATCAAATGTATCAAAGTATATAGATTTTAATAAGTTCAAAA